CCCCCCCCTTCCCCCCTCCTCTTTATATAGTAGGGTAATCCTACTCTAAGTACAACTCTATTAAAGGTAAAAAAAATCTTCTGTTTAACTGATTGTTGGTTCTACATCGATACTTACCGAGATTCACGCCATGATATCCAGCCGGTCGCGGATATTACGACCTTCTGTTGGTCGTGCTTGATTGCCCGACAATGTTCTCCGAAGACTCTCAGTGCTTGGATCGATCTCAAATCATGACCTCGATATTCTCGAGGGCAGACAATCGGCACCCGAATTCTAACTCGTTGAGACCCTTGCTTCGATTCCGATCCTTCACAATCATATCTCGAGCTCGTTTTACCACGTTGGAGGTCGGAGTGTATCATGAGCTCGATTTTTACCCGTATATAATATGATTAAATAATAAAAGTTTACGTGCAAACCATGCGTTCTTACATTCATTTGTTTGACTTAAACACTGCAGCGTCATTTTGTTTTTTGAAGAGGTGGAAGGGGGGTACGAGGATAAGTTACTATACTACATACTATATGGTAGAAAGATCCATTAAACATAACGAGAGAACTTTAGAACTTCCCAAAAAGTTTGGTTCAAAGCACCTAGAGTTCAACCAAAAGTACCATTACAAAAGTGGAAATCCAGCTGATAATTAGAATAACCAGAGAAGACCTTATAAAAAATTTAGAGTAACCAGGACGACGTAACAGTAAGCGTAAAAAGCCAAGGATGAATTGCCCGCCAGTGAGTTGAAACTTGAATCACCAGACAACTGTGAGTACATATAGTCACATTTTCATGAAATGCCAGTACTCCTACTACTTTGCATGGAAACAGCCAAGTGAGAGGATAAACTTGAGGCCCTGTGATCATGCTGCTGCTGCTGGAAAATGACGCCGTTATGCGCAGCATCCTGTCGGACGCTCAAGAAAGCGGAAGTGTGAGCCTCACGTGTAACCAAGTCCAGAGAAGAACTCGAGTTAATATGGTCGTTTGGAATTGATTCTTGAACCTTCTTTGTGCTAAGAAAACGCCCTCCGGACCCTCTAACCCTCTTGACCGCGTGAAGATGCCGTGATTCATGAAGATACGGCTGTATGCAGTCAACAAGGAAAATGAAAGTAGATTAAGCGCAATACTACAACAACAACAATAACAAAGCCGGTGTAATCCCATATGTAAGATCTGGGGAGGGTAACGTGTGCGCAGACTTTACCCCTACCTTGTCAAGGTTGATTAAGCCCAATGTAGATTGAAAATTAGAAGTTATAGCAAGTTTAAGCTTATAATATTTGCTAAAAGAAGAAGGTTTAAGCTTATAATAGAAGAGACCATTGGTAGGGACTACACAACATGCACAGTTGCATGATGCTAATAATTAGTCCAGTTTATTCTCACACTTAGGGCTGGCAAGTGGGCCGGTCCTGAACCTAAACGGGCCAAGTGGACTGGTCCAAATGGTCCCGGGACAAACGGGCCCGGGCTAAACGGGCTTTTTGTAAGGACCGGCCCAGGACCGGGACCGTTTGGTCCCGGACTAAACGATCCCGACCCGCGGGCTAAACGGGCTAAGTGGGCNTATACACTTAGTAACAATAAAGTAAACAATAGTAGCAATTATAGAAGAAAATTAGAGAGAGATTATGATAAATGGATGATTTTGTAAGAAAAAATGAAAGAATGATGGGGTATTTATAGTTGAAAATAGGGAAAAGTGTAATTATAAAAAGTTTGGGATTAAAACAAAGTTTGGGGGGTTAAATGGCTATTTTATAAATAGCCAACGGCTATTTTTGACAGCCCAACGGCTATATTTTTAAATTAAAAAAACGTTGGGACCGTTTGGCCCGCTAAGGGACCGATCCGGTTCCGGACGAGCTAAATGGTCCCGGGTCTGGCGGGCCCAAATCATAGGACCGGCCCAGGCCCACTAAAACCGGGCACCGGGCCTGGACTGGCCCACTTGTCACCCTTAGTCACACTTGAGTTGCTTCAATCTGTAAACATGGTACTAAAAACCTTTATCTCTTCGTAGTTAGACAAGATAGGCATTATTGACCAGCTTGAGAAACTCTTAACACACCATCTATGTTGCTCGGACTTTCCGAAATGCCGTTGGGTGCGTGACGGATCCTCCAAAAGTTAGTGCATTTTGGAGGATTCATACATTCCCAAGTTAACAGTAAATGTGAAGAAACTCTCCAGTCTATCTGTCTTCCCCAGTTGGTATCCTAGCGTAGTGCATTGGCAGAAAATCAACTCAGACAAACAGATTTGAACTTGCTTCACTGCTAAAACATGGGAAAAGACGAAAAGTAACATGTACCTTTCTAGCTTTGACAAGTTTGTTTTGAGCCTCAAGCTTAGCACGTATCTGTCTTCTCCTTAAGATCCCATGATACTGTTTTGCATTTACATAAATCGGTCCATCTTCTGCAAGATCGAGGGGTAGTGGGAGGCGGGCAGGTGCTATGCCCATCATTTGAGGCTGAATTGGTCAAACGTCATAATTAAAACTATAGCGAGACTAGTACAGTCAAAAACACCTAGTGCATAGATTGAATCAAGTGTTTGAAGCTTGACTCAGAACACAAATAATGCCCTTACAAGTCGCAAAACAATGATACTTCCTACATACAATGTATGTTCTCTTTCAGGCTAAAGGATGAAACACAACTTCAGTAAAATCAAACAACTTGAAGTTTTAAAACATCATTCACACAAGGATAGAAAGATATAGAAAAATCAAGATTAATTGAGGACAGGTAAGATAAGAAAACATGCCAATACGATGTCATTGCAAAAACATAAAAGAGTTAAAGTGTATTTAGCCTTCTCTCATATTCATAAATCAAGACTTGATATGTCAAAAAGACTACAAATGTTAACGGATCACCTTTTATTTTATATATCGGCAATGACGAAAAGTGATCTAGTAGGGAAAGAAGAAAAGAAACTGAAAAATAAGCAATACGAGAGGCACAGACAACATTACAGTACTCACAAAAACATGAGGTCCATAAGCAGCATATAAGCCACTGAGATAGGGGTCGGAGTAACCAAAAGGAGCGTGGCTCTGCAACAATAAATTTTGATAGATTAGTTTACTACAAAAGTTAAAGCAAAATATCCTTGGATAGCAGGAACTTACAATTGAATGGGCCATTTCACTTTGTGAACAATCAGTAGTATATTCTGGATTTCTAATAAAAGAAATAGGCTTGATTTGAGCTTGTTTATGCCTTTTGTAGTTCTCATCGTGAACTGAGAAAAGCAAAACAAGTCGTAAACGTACTCCAGTGCTAATAGCAAATAAACTATCTGAGGAATAGTTAAATTCTGTTTAGAGACAAATTGGTAGTAGAAGTGTCTGTAATATATAGTATATATTTTCATAAAGTTATCAATACTAGACTAAATAACTTTCTTATATAGCATTCAGCCATCGCCAGCACAAGTGAGTCACTATCTTATAAAAAGATCATGTTGTAAATGTAGTAACATTAAGTAAAGAACTTCTAAACAAATTGAGATGTGCTTTCACTCCTTACTGAAGTGGTACTAACAGCAGTCATTATATGATTATAGTGAAATTGTAAAGTCCAAAAGATTCACTGAAGAGAGTTGCAAAGGTTAATAACGTGCAAGTATATGTACCAGATCCAGAAGAAGTGCATTGATCTTGAGAACCTGTTTTCCCCAAAGCAGTCACTTCTAGCGGGGGGTTACTATTTGATTGGGTAGAGTGTGAGTCGTCGCCTTGTAATTCCAGACCAAGAAACTTCATCTGCTGACAGGGCGGAGGTAGAAATACCACTTCAGAGGTTAAATTTTTCGAAAGAGACTGTGAAGACTGTACTTCATTGGAACTCCACCATGTTGAATTATTGACAGCAAAATGAGGCACAAAGCAGGTGGGAGTTTGTTCTAAGCTTCTATTTGGTAAAGCTTGAGCTCGAATAGCCATTTGCTAGTCCACACATAATTTTTCCTAGGCATAATCCGGTGAAACAACAAAGACGAGTAGCAGGCTGCACAATTGACCAAAAATGAAAAAAGAAAAGCATAACATATTAAACTAAATAAAGAACACTCATAACATAATAGAGCAGCGAGGCAAATAAATCAAATTAAACTTGATACTTTCTCTTGATCGCTTAAAATGACTGCTTTAGTGCATAAAGTAGCATTAAAGTTTTAACACCATTTACAATTGGCATCTTAACATCTTGCGCAACTCCATGATATCCATTCAAGCAACTTGCCCAGAGGATATTCAAACTCTCATGTAAACACTAAGCAGCTTCAAGATACCAAACTTACAACAACAACAACAATAACATACCCAGTATTATCTCACACTGTGGGGTCTGGGGAGGGTAGTGTATACCCAGACCTTACCCTTACCTTGTGAAGATAAGAGATGTTGTTTGCAATAGACCCTCGGCATCAAAATTTCGAAGGTACATTAGTCTTCAACTTTAGGATCCCCCCTCCCCCAAAAAAATTATAACATCCACAAGATACATGCTATTTTATGCACTCTCAAAAGAACACAAGATCTCTTCTCCTTTATTCAAATTGCTGTCAAAATAACATTTTATTCAGGGGCGGAGCTAGAGTTTCGGTAACGGGTTCGACCGAACCCAGTAACTTTAGTGCAAACCATATATTTATCTTAAGAAATCCATTGAATAGGTACAAATTCTTGAACTCAATCATATAAAAAGGGTAGAACTCCGAACCCAATAACTTCAAATCCTAGCTCCGCCTCTGATTTTATTATAGGGCTAATATTGAGCTACCCTTAAGAGCCCAGCTTCTAACTAAAAACATGGAAATTCAAGTTAAACCACAAATCAATCAAGGTGGCCAAACTTGCCATACAAAGACTTGATTATTTAACAAGAATTTAATCATATGTACTGAGGTGGTTGACGGGAGCTATGAATAAAGAAGAAAGTACGTTGTCATTTTAGTTTATACAGCAGGCCTAAAGTTCCATCATCAGAAAAAACACAGAACTACCAAATCCCCATGCATCTTTAATACTCATCAATACAGCTCCAACTAACCATAAGTCCAATTAATGACAAATTACAAAAAAGAGAAAATTCAGAAAAATGGACAAGGACTGAAATCCTATTTATTTCCTTTTTTTGGCGTGCGCTATTCCCCCAACAACACACCAGTGGCGCGGCCACATACACGAAGGGTGGTCATGAACACACTTCGTCAAAAAATTATAATGTATATATAAATCAAAAATTACTTTTTATACATGTATATTAAATGTCGAAAGAGCAAAAATTTCTGCGGCCCCCACACACAAAAACCAGGAAACCCAGCTTACCAGAAGAATACTGTTTTCAAATATCAGGACACTGAGCATCAGAAGAAGAAGAAAAAGGAGGAGGACCAAGAATAGAAACTCAAGAACAGTAGCTGAGAAGAAAAGTCAAAGCAAATAGTAGATCTCTTTTACATAACAGACACCATTCCAAAATTCCATCTTGTTAAGTTACCTGATATACCCAAAACAGACTACTATATGAACCTGAAGTCAAAATCCCAGTTTGTATCCAACCATAAACACCACAGATTAAAGTAAAGATAATAACTTTACCCATTATTTTCCCTTTAATTTTACAGTTGCATAACCATTAGCAGAAAACTAACCACATGCATTCAACATTTAATAAGCAGAAGTGGAGAACACAGAGATAATACCCAAAAGGGTAAGTTTTACGGCAAACCAAATAGCAAAACAGAAACAAACAAAAAACATGACTAATAATAAGAAGAGAAGAAGAAAAATACAATTCTACGTATATGAAAATATGTAATCATCTCAGAACTTGAAGTAAGAGAGAAAAAAACACAGAAGTAGGATAAATAAGTGGGAAAACTTTAAATTAAAGAAATGGAGAAATACCTTTTGGGATCGGTAAGATTAGGAAAAGAAAGGAAAATAAATACAAGAGTCGCCTGTTGGGATGAAATTAAGCATGTTCCCTTCCTTCAAACTCTCTCTCTCTCTCTCTCTCTACCTTTCTCTCTCTAAAAGAGATAGTACTAATAAAAAAGTTGTTGCATCTGCTGTTTAAAAATTAAAAAGAAAATCCTAAATACTACTCCCCGGTTTATTTTAATTAATTTTTTTTTTTTTTTTGCTATTTTTATATATATTAAATAATTTATTTTTTAATATTAATTAATAATAAAATTGACCATATTACTCCTAGTATATTTACTCCAAAGATAACTTTTGAAAAAAATATTAATTATTTTTTTATATTTAAAAAAATCAAATATTATAAAAAGGTCAAAAAAATCCATTAAAGTTCGACAGAATAAAGTAGTTAAGTACACAGTAGTAGAGTAGCTCCCTAACACATAAATGGCATCATCAGTTTTCAAAATTTTAACCATTTCTGACTTCTTTCTTTTTTTAAAATTAAAAGATGAGAGTGTTAATTGGCTCAGACGACTGTGCTGTTTGTTACACTAAAATAATAACTTTAGTCCTTGCCCACTGTGTTTAGCCGCCCTTTACTGTTCCAATGTAATTACTTCTGTCACGCGCTTAATCTTCATTTGCATGGCCTATCTCTTTTTTCTTTTTTGGACGTGTGAGGTACACGCTCGTAAATTGTGGATTGTGTTTCGCAATCCGAATTTTAAATCGATTAATTTCGAAATAATTAAGGTTATTGGTTCGTCCATTGATCCTATTTACCAAAAAGCCCCACATACGAGGCAATGACCCATAGTTTAATATCGTTTGATTGTGGTTTAGTTATAAATAATACGTAGGATTGTGATACAATACATGAATTGTTATATAGTGAATAAATAATACATGGATTATTATTTAAGATTCACCTGTTGAAAGGGTTTTGTTGTCTTAGGGCCCGTTTGGACATAAAATTTGATGAAAGTTTTTTTCAAAAAAAATTTACTTTTTTTCGAAATCAGCGTTTGTTCATAAAATTTCCAATTTTCACTTGAAGATGCATTTTGAAAATTTTTGAAAATTTGAAAAACTCCAAAAAGTTGTTTTTCAAAATTTTCACTCAAATCACTCATAAAACTTCAAAAACAACCCAAACTGGAATTTATGTCCAAACACAACTCACATCCTATGGAGGAAAATTGGGTTAGTGACAAGTTGGTATTAGGGCCCTAGGTTCATAGGTT